TTTCTCAATTAAAGCCTATATTATGTCTTCTAACTTACCCTAAGAAGTCTTTTTATCTCCTACATACTTAAAGGTATGATGGTTGGATGGGTGGATGAATGAGTGGATAATGAAGGGAAGCATTTACTTGATCTGATCTGTGCTGGATGAATGAAGATCTTAAGATATACATCGTGGCCTTTACATTGTAAAAATTTAATTACTATGTTTGTGTATGTGTCCCCTGCTGGGGACCGTATCCAGATCCTCATGTATGCTGAGCCAGCACTCTGCCACTGAGCTACATCCCCAACCCACATTTTTATTTTTTTATGTCTGGTTTTGTTACTGTCTTCGATTCTCTTACATATTTGTTTGGCACATTTACCCTTAACCTTCCCCGAAATTACCCAAATCATGAATGAATTTCTCCTGACCCAGTCATCAGACGATGAAGATGAAATTCACCCAGATCAGCTGGCTAGGTCATTTGAAAAAGGCCACTTCACATTCTTTAAGGAAAATCGAGGTGCTTTTGATAGCTCTTGCTTAGAGACACTTTAAACTGACAGACCCATTGAAATCCACAGAACAATCTGATGCTGTTTCCCTAAATCCACTATGAAATTTTTATTAGAAAATGTATTTCTCATTTAAAAAAATTTAACGATATTCTTCCAAAGAACATGAAGATATCATTTAAGCCAATATGAACTAATCTCCCACACAACCTATTAGATTATTCTTAAAACATCATTTCTCAAAATCTGTTAAATTCTCTTAAGGAAAAAAATATAGCAATTCTCCCAAGGTTGGGTTAAGTTACTTCCTAACAGTTTTGCTTAAACATGCACAAAAATAAAATTAACTTATTTATAAGCTTTTATTAAATTATAAACCTAAAATATGTTAGTTTTTAGACAAAAAATAAAGTAAAATTCAAATTTCCTGCAAGTGTCCATCTGAAATAATCACCATTACTCTGATGAAGCTAATTTAGTTATCACAACGGAGATGTGATAACAGGCAGGAACTCTACATTTTGTTTAACTGAACTTGCCTATACCAATTATATGTAAGTAACAATGTAACTCTTTCTTCACTTGTCTCTTTTTAGCCTATTTGTCTGTGGAGGTGTTTTTATTTTTGGAGGTTTTGTTGTTGTTGTTGTTGTTGTTATTGTTGTTTTTACTGGGACTCAAACTCAGGACCCTGCACCTGCCACGCGGGTACTGTGCGTCGGAGCTCTGTCCCCAGCCCTTTTTAGGCTATTTAAAAAGTCCGTTTAACAGCCCTCCCAGATGTTATTTGGCCTACACTTGCACAAATGCATCTTTCATGTATTCCTTCTTTTTTACTATTCCTCCACATTTAAAATAATTGATGATGTCAAAACTAAATATAATTTTAAACAGGAAGACTGAAATAATGTAACATTGTTCAGTTATAATTTGTTCATATGAACCAATAAGTTCCTGTATTATTTTTACTAGATTGTCTCCCTAATCTAAAAAAAAAATATTTGAGTTATGTAACATATGTTAGACCCTCACAAATACTGTTTTAAGATATATCAAATTCTTAAATAATAATACAGTAAATGAGATCATTTGGGGCCTTTAAAGTTAGTAAACATAGTGAGTGTGAATTATTTCTGATATGTAAATATTATGAATACATTTTTCAAGTTAACCTTTCAGCCTTTCAAAAATTATGTTAGGCAATTAATCTGAGTTAAGCTCAGTGAAGGAAGCTCAGACATAGCAAAGAACAGTCCTTGATGTGGGAACTCGCATGGTAATGGAGATGAGCCTTGGGTACAATTTTGCATAAGTGCTACTAGGAAGATGCAGGAATGATCCAGAGGACAGGAAGTTTCTGCATATGCCCCAATTCTACTGCGCTTGCTCCACCTCTCAATGCTCCCAGCCTTCTGTAAGACACTGCGCTCTTAGAAAAAGCTACTTCAGTTGAATTGAAAATTTATATATGTAACAGTTCTCAAAACCCCAAATAATTCATTTGGTAATATCATTAAGCAATTTAGAACTCTAAGTGCTGCTTTAAAAAATTAATTTCCTGTAGCCACTCAATTCACTTTATTTTTAGCGCACATTCACTGTACAGAGTAAAGGGTTGCATTTGGGCATAGTTATACGCACATAGAATGCTGCCGTCATCCCCATCACCCCCTCTGCCCTTTCTTGCCCCCCCTGTCACTCTCCTCCTGGTTCCCTGCCTCTGCTCTCAGAGTCTCCTTTCTTCTGTAGCCTTTTGGATAGTATTCATTCCCATTGAAAATGTCACTTAAGGGGCCCATCCTCCTAAGAAAGATTCAGAGGATGCCACCCAGTGTCCTAGCATCAGGCCCGCCCACAGCCCTGCAGAGCTGTGGTAACTGTTAATGTTATTTACTTGGAGTAATTGTGACACTATCTGGTCAAACACTAAAATCAAAACTACCCAAAAAAGTAGCACTGTCTTAGCAATAAACATCTTTTCCAGTGTAACCCTACTCATCTGCAGTTTTCTCATCTGTGAAATGGGAATAATAGTAAATAATTCATTAAAACAATGAGGACAAACATCTTAGCAGAGGCATTTGAGACACAGTGAGCACTTTAATACTTTTAAAATATTGCTTCTGCTGTTAGTAGTACTGCCTACCCTATGTTCACAGCTTACCCCTTAAGAATATGCATGGTCTGTTTGTATCTGGTAATCTGAGTAGTTTATGTGATGACAACAATTTGCAGTGTAATATCCATTGGTGAATTCCTACAATCCTGCCTAGTGACACTGTGAATTGTCTCTAATGTTCTTTTAAATTATTACTTTCTTATTCCCTTTAATGATTTGATCAATCTTCTATTCTTACATCTGGTAGTCTGAGCAACTTCGTTGAAGATAACAATATGTGATATAACAACCACTGTTAATCTCTATCATTTGGTTTGAAACCCTGTATCATTTTTAATGTCCTTGATTTGTGCTGTTTGCAATTTGCTATTGTTCTTTTTTGTACTATTGTCTTTAAAATAAAAAAGTAAGAATATGCATGGTCAAGTGGCTAAAAATTTAAAGAGGTTAAACATAAGGTCAAAATTATTCAATCTGATAATCTAGCTTTTAAAATTCACAAAAATTCTATCCAACTGGATTCCTAGTTCCAAAAACCTAGTAGGTTCACTGTATTTTCTGTCACTCTGGGTGGTGTGAAAAGATTCTCCAGAGGAGACAAAATCTAAATAAGGTTAAAAACAAACCAAAATCTGCAAACCTGCTTATGAATATGCAAATTTGGATCACGGGTATCTTAGTTACTTTTCTCACTGCTAAAACAAAATATCCAACATGCAAAGTTAAAGGAGGAAAAGTTTATTTGGCTCACAGTTTATAGAAGTTTCAGTCCATAGTCAGCTGGCCCCAAGGAAGGGTGGCACGGCAGAGGGGCATCGCAGAGGAGAAACAGTCCATGGAAAAGCAAGGCAGGCAGAAGACAGCAAGCAGCAAGCAAGCAACAAGTGACAGATTCTTTCCGTCACTTTATGTTGTATTCAGGCTACCCACCCTAAAGGTGAATAGCACTCACACCCTTAATGCTAGCAGCACTGCACTGTGAATCAGTCCCAGTATCACATCCTTGATTAATCCCAGCAGCACACACCCTAGATCCAGCCACCTCCAGAAAGCCCCACCTATAACCTCATGAGGCTTTGGAGAGACAAACGATAACAATGGGTAATAAGAAAATTTCAATAAAGAATTTATTCTAATATCTTGACCTTTGAAAGCATTTCCAGCCCCAAAATACTTATTTTAGCAACTCACTGACTAATAATTTTAGTGATGAGCTGTCTGGTTTTTAACGGAGCCACTGTGCTTACAGGATGAGTATATGCCATATGGCCTTAAAACCTTTAAAACAAGATGGTAGGAATTCACCAATAGTTGTTAAATTGCATATTGTTGTTTTCAAATTAGTTGTTCAGATTACCAGATATAAGCATGCAAAATTGATCCAAAAAAATTAGTTATTCCTTGCAGTAAACGAAGGGATATCTTGTTTAGTGAAGCTCTGTATCATTTCTGGGCTTTTTTATTTTTTTTATTCTCTTTAATAGTTTGATCAACCTTGCATTCTTACATCTGGTAATCTGAGCAACTTCACTGAAGATAATAATAAATAAAATAACAACCACTGTTAATTCCTATCATTTTATTCTGAAACCCTGTATCAGTGTTTCTGTGTTGTTTTGTTTCTATGTCCTTATTTTATTTTTTATTCTCTTTAAAATAAAAACTTTAAAGAGAGTAGTAAGTGAGAAACAAAGAAGTAGAAGAGTAGCAGCATATCAGTATCACAAACATAAACAAATCTCTCTTTAAAATAAAAAAACTAAAACTATAAAAACAGTTTTAAAAATCTTTAAAACATCTAGTACCTAGAAAGCAATATTTCTTTAGAAAGAGATCATCTGATATGTCATTGTATTTCCTTGAGATGCTGTTGTCACAGATTTTGGTATTTTATCTTATTCACATCAGTCCTTGTAATCACAGATATACATTCTTGAGGCATCTTCTTCAGGTGTTAAATCATGCTTCTACAAGTGTGCACAGTAACTTACTTGAATGATGTTATTAGAACAGTGTGAGCAGACTATAAATATATTTTTAATTAAATAAAAAATGAATCCTCTTTTTTCTCTTCCAATTTGTTTTACTAAGTGTAAATTAAATTGTTTCCATTTATGTAGATAACTTTTGAGAAATAAAATGCCATACAAATTAATGCCAATTTTCCTTCTTTTCTCAGTCTTCGTGTGTGTGTGTGTGTGTGTGTGTGTGTGTGTGTGTGTGTGTGCATTTTAACTGCAATTTAAACATTATACTGTACTGTTTTTGTTGAGAAGACAGCAAAAGGAAGTTATAATCTATTCTGCTGTTTGGTTACCTTTCCTCTTTACTACCTGCTTCCGACTTCTCACTACAGTTTCTTCTGTTACTGTTTGTTACAGAGGAGGTGTCAGCACGGATAGTTCAAGTAGTCACAGCTGAGGCTGTAGCAGTCCTGAAAGGCGAACAAGAGAAAGAAGCTCAGCACAAAGACCAACCCACAGCTCTGCCTTTAGGTAAATGGAGAAGTGCCTCAGGTCTGGGCCCGGGTCCACTGCACGCTGATCAAGGTTTCATGTGAAAAGACAGCTTAAATCTTGCACAGTGTCTTGCATGTGATGCTCGTTGATCTTCTACTGAGATGCACTGGGACCTGGTTCCAACCTCCTTCCCAGGATTGTGGGATTTGGGTATTTTGTAGAGTGATAAACTTACAGTTAGATGCTCCCCTAAGTAGTCCATAATCTTTCATTTTCTAGACCATTAGGGGATTGCATGGCCACTAACATGTAAGGAAAATATACTGAAATTCTCAGATAGAGATGGCTATTTCCCTTTATGGGTTTTGGTAAATTACTAACTACATCATAGTCTTGTTTCTCTCTTCCTAAACTGTTTTCCTACACAAAAACCTAGAACTAGAGCTTTGTTAGAATCTTCAGTGACTCTGTCACAGGTGAAGTACTGACCACTTACTTGACTCATCTCAGGGTGGTGATAGCCCTGCCTTCTCACTTGGTCACAAATCAAATGCCCTCCAGTGACAAACAAGTAATACGGTACATGCTTCCTCAGAAAACACTCAGCTCCAGATTTGCTGCCCCCACTCATTCATAGATAGATAGAAAATTAAGGAGACCAACAGACACATATGTACACACATGAAAACAAACAGGAGAAACATTCACTTTATTTCACTGATACATAAAAGGTATGGCTTCTAAGCCCTAAAAAAAATTACATATTCATTTTTCTTTCTTATAGTCTAATGTGTCCTTAATTTTCTTATCAGTATTCTTTCAAGCCCCTACTAAAATATAAAGACTAAAAATATTTTGCTCTCCCCAAATTATTCTCTAAGTGGTTTATCAAGGACTGTTTTGCTCTTAAAACACAGAAGGGAAATATATCTCTAAATCATTCCTCTTTAGTCTATTGTTTACTTTTGATATCTTAAAATATGCCATGTAAAACCCACAGGATCAGGAAAATGAAAAAGTCATCTGTCACCCCCAAAGCTACCTCTACTGACTGTTTATAAAACTGAAATTTGGGTGATCTTTAAAAGAGAGTGAATCACTGGCCTTAGGTGAGAAATATTCCTTTAAAAATTTCATGCCCTCATACCACGGGTCCTAACGAAGGTCAGTATCCTAAGGAGCAAATAGCAAATGGTAGCATTCACTGGCTATGACTTACATCTTCTAAAGCTTTTCTCTCTGGCCTTTGGGTGCAAGGCTAAGGCCAGAAGATGACTCAGCTCCTACCCATGCATGTTTTTTTAAGTTGACTTATGCCATACAGCTTCATTTTCTGAGAATACCTAGAGAAGACAGTTTTGACATTAGACTCAGTGGGCAAAATATTATTTTAAAAAGATGGCAGCTAATATAACTATCAATGATCAAAGTAACATTTATTTCCAGATAAACCATTTGGACAGCAAAGCTTTTTTTTTTTTTTTCATTCAGACTAGCCTAATCCAAACTGGAATGCCTGCCTGCAAGTGTTTTTATTTGTTACATCATGACTAAATAAAATATATTAATAATTGAGCAAGTAGACAGAAATCAACGAGAGGAATGATAGAATTGTAGCATCCATCTTTACTCCATTTTTATGGGGAAGACAAACTAATTTTTTTGAAAAATAAATACTTTTCTTACTTTTTAGATTATTAAATTTGTGAAGCAGGTAATGGGACTAAAAATAGCAGATTATTAATGAATCTTTCCCTGAATTTCCTAGAGAAGCCTTTTTACAGATGGAAAAACTGCTCCACAGATCTATTAGCCTAATAGGATTAATTGTTGTTATCTCATTTCTCCATTGTTTGATCTGTAGCAGCTGAAGAGACAGCTAATCTGCCTCCCTCTCCACCCCCCTCGCCAGCCTCAGAACAGACCATCCCCTTGGAGGAAGGTAAGTTCTGCTGGACCCTCCAGGGTTTGTCTTCTCAGAAAGGGTAAAATATAAACATCAAGCCAAAAGCCATGGACTTCAGTATTGGTCAGATATCATTCAGCCGTGGAACTGTCTATTTCAAACAGCGAAGAAATAAAGTCCTTAAATATACACCATTTTATTGCAGTAAAATCAAAAGAATATGGTACATAAAAGAGGAAAAATCTAATGGGTAAAGGAAAGGATAATTTCATCTTTAAGATGCTAGGACAACTATAGAGAACCAGTTTACTTAATGTAACATTTGATGGAGAAGCTACAGTCCTATCTTATAAATGACTGAACACAAATAAAAACAATATAATCCCGATTATAGCAGGAGTCATATTAATTGATGAAGTCACCACTTGCTTATGGAAACATCAAGAATTGTCCCGGTTTCGCTCACCTTTATATTGTCAAGAACCTCCCCAGGGCCAGATCCACAGCAAATTCTCAATAAATATTAATGAATGAATGAAAAAGTTAATGCAGGAATGTGAAATTGAGAGCAATGAACCAAGAGCTGAGACCAGGGCTGCTTTCCTGCCTAGACCTGCTATTGCCATGAATATATTCATGCACTTCCTCAACGTGGAAAGATGGGTCAGCCTTTCAGTCCTCACTGAGAAAGCAGAGGGGCGCTTTTGAAGAATACCCATTCACGATCTCAGAGGAAAAGCGTTAACCGAAATTATGTTGAAATAGCAATCGAGCAGAAGCTCTCTTCTGACTTTTCCTAGACTCTGACTGATGTCCCGCTTAACTAACCTAAGTCAGAGGAACAGTAGTGGTCTGTTTGTACAGTATGTTTCACACACTGAAAGCAGAATTTTAAAACTATTTCATTCACGTACTTCGACTGTTTTTCATGTTGGCATCACTTTACAGCTCACTGTATTGTGTTAAAAACTGAATACTGTTTGTCACAGAAGACTCATCTTTTTATAATTAGCAATCATGTTCATTTAAAAGATTCCCTGATTTCCTAAATACAAAAATCTAAATAACTGAACTACATATATTTAATCCCAATATAATTCATTTTTGTCATAGATGTATAAACCTAAACATTTTCACTGTTTTGTCTTTCTGAAATTGAAGCTTTTTTCCTAATTTTTCATAATGCCTGAAATAATGTTAAACAATTATTCTAAGTAGGAAAAGACATTAAGGATGGTTATCAGTTTATAACAGCCACTGACTATTAGTTAATCTCTTTAATGCAATTTAATATTTTAATTCATATATTCAAAAGATTCTTTTTAGCCTTTGTTTATCCATTCCTTCCACACACCACCTACAGTGTCCTGGGAACTCTGGGAATCGTGAGTGTATACTAATGAATGAAACAGACATGAGCCTTCATTGTAAGGAGCACATTGTCCAACGACAAAGGGCAATCCAGTAAATAAACTGTCGAGTAATTTTACATTGAATTAGCACTAGGAAGGAAAGATCAGGGAGCTGTAAGACTGAAAAGCAAGGGAAGCTTTATTTTATTGAATGGGAAAAGGGAGCATTGAGAGGCTGAGCCAGAAGTATGAGGAAGTGGAGGCCAAGCAAAAATGGAAGAAAGGGGTATGTGGGGCAGAAGGACCAGGATGCAGAACTTCTCAGGTGGGCATAGCTAACGGGTACCGAGAGAAGGGCTGCAGGAGGAAAAGAACGGGAGAGAAAGAGCCGCCAGCTGGGTCACGGGCCTGGGTTTCATGGCAAGTGCAGCAAGAATCCTGAAGTGACAGCAGTACTTCCCCAGGCCACTGACAATGCTTCTGAGCTCCTGCTAAAAGCCTTTCAAGTGTCAGAGAATCCTCTTAACCCAGAAAGGGAAGTTATATCCGCGCAGCTGGCCTCTTTCCAAAATCTTCTTGAGGTTAAACCATTGGTTCTTACTTCTTAACTGGGAGCTCCAAGCAGAGAGGAAGGTGAGCCCTCCCGTCCACCTGGGAGTTCACCCCGCCTGCCTTCAGGAGTGTAACAGCGTGGATATAATGAAAATATAAGTAAATCAAGGACAGAATCTGTTTCACATTTTAGTCACTTATGTGTCACAGTAAACTGTTCCCTTACATTCAGAATTGTTCTCCCCGGCAGTCTCAGTATTTTCAGAGGAAACACCAACTTAGTTATCATTGAACGTAATTCAAAGTTATTTTCAAGGCTAACTGGTATTTTTTAGAAAAGCAAACTATATGAAGCCCTGATGTTTTACTTTTGAAAGTACATTTTGTGAGCTATATGATAAAATATAAGTATATATTTCATAAAATTTCCCTCATTAAACACCAAATAATATTTTCACTTTAAATATGTTAAAGATATGAGGTCTAGACAAAGTAGTCCCTCTTTTATTTTAAATCCCAATTATGTATAACAGATAATAGGTTTTACTTTCAAGTTTAGTTTTGTCAGAAAATAAATTAATGACCAGTCAGTCATACCTTTGAACTATTCAATTTTTAATCTCATTAGTTAGTAAAGATTCATTCCAATTTCTATCAATGTCCTGCTTCAGCAGGTGTGGCAGGAAGGGATTGGATGAATTCCTTTGCTTTGAATAGCGCATTATTTTTCTTCTTTGACATACCTTTAGAGTAACTACCAGTCTGATCCTTTTGTACAAAAGGAAAAGAGCTCTTGTATTAAATTGAGTATTCAGTGACTTTGGGGATACATTAACTTTTTATTAAGTATCAAACATTTTTAAAGCTGTTCTTTCCCAAAGGGAAAGCTGGAAAGCTTCCATGGAATATAATTTAATATATTAATTACCATAATTTATAAATATTCATTTATTGTAATTAATGTAACATTGATAATTCCCAGGATATGTAGTTATTCTGGGGAACATTTACAAGGGATTTTGATGAAAAAATTTAACAAGTAACACACATTGAAAGGAAACCATGGTATAGTTTTCCAATACTGTACTAGTTGTGATGTTTTCCAATTTACCTCCTTTTACTTTTTTGACCCAGTCTTAATAATTGTCATTTGAATGGAGCTATTAGAACTTGAAAGTCTGTGCAAGTACAATGGGATCATCTGAAAACAGAGCCAGAAATCCTGCTGCCCTCTGAGGTTTGCTCCAGAGTTCGAGAGTGATATTTTTCTGTGTCATAGAGGTGGTGACAGTAATTACTACTTCAAAGCAGTTTCCCTCTATATCATTCTGGAGTAGCATGAATGGTCAGAAAACTTAGACACTGTAAGGCAAAAGTATGCAGGATGGAGGAGGCTTAGAGCCATGTGACTGGGGCCAGTGGTCCTTAGCAACTGTGGGATTATGGGAGTAAAGTATCTTCAAATGTTACAAGCTACTATGCAAATGTCCTTTTTCTAAAACCACCCTCAAATAAACATTCCAATTATTTTTAATTATTATGCATCCCACTCCTACTGGGAATGATCCAACTTCATAACAAATGAGAACTAACGTCTTCAGTCATTATCACTGGAACCAAATGCATTGTTGGGACTTTGCTAGCTCCCTAAGCATAGCTTGCCTGCCTTATCTCTTGAACTTGTATTGCAGATGGATTTCATTCACAGGTCCTAAGCAGAGACTTGGAGTACATATAGCGCATAATACCAGGAGAGGACTGGCCTTTGCCAGACACTTCTCTGAAAGCAGTCTTGGCTCAGGGCCTGAAAAATACAAAGAGAACCTACTTTTCCACTACAGCCTTTAAAATTCTGTTGTTGACTGGTTACAGGGAAAGTCTTCAGAATCGAAAACACTGCCTCTTTTGAGACGTTACAATCTGAGGCAAAGCTCTGGCCTGTTTTTACATTTGAGAACTTATACGAAGAGCATCAATGATAAGAACCAAAATCTTCAGAAGCTTAAAAACATCTGCTGAGTATGGCCTCCAATTGACACCTATCAGTTTCCAGCTCTTGTTTTATACTGTGGTCTTCTCTAGTTGCCTTCCCCCCAAAATGTTGAAAAGCAGAGAGACGAATATCCCTCTTTTGCTGCTTGACTCCTCATGCAACCTACTGAACACACCCAAAGTATTCACAGTAACTTATATAGGTGGGAAGTTGATAGTCTCAGAGAGCCGCTGGAGGAAACAGGAATGGCTGGGATAAGCAGCAAGCTGAGGGCTATGCCTCAGTTAGTGTTGCAAACCAGATCTTGGACAATTATCTACTCAGCTGAGAGTCTGAGCTGAGTTGAACTAAGAATATCCAGCAGTATTTTAGGAATCTGCTGGCCCATGATGTAATAAGTACACTGGCTGAGAAAATTCTGAGCATCCATCCAGTAGCAACTTCCATGGAATAATCAGTAAATAACATGCTCAAAAGATTAAAAGTAATCCATCCACAGAGTGTTATTTTTAGTATCCTTATGATTTCAGACTTATTTCCAGTCGTCAGCACTTGGTTACTGAAAATAATTTACTATCCTAAAAATGCACTATATTTGCAAACTGATGCTATGATTTTGTCACTTAAATCCTGACAGAAATAAAAATTATACAGAGGGACACTATAGATGTTGCTCTTATTATTGGGAGTTATCAGATTTTTGAATTATTTCTAGGTATAGGTACACAGTGATTAGCAAATATAATGAAACCCCCCCATGAGATGTGGGGGACCCAAACCAAATCCAAAGCCACCTAGTGTTCATTCTCATGGTCCTTAAACCTTATTGAATTCTAGCAGGTCCAAACACTGAACAGACTGGCTCACAATTGTAAGTTTGAGGAAATATGTTTAAATAAGTCAGACTTCTATGCCAAGACACACAAAAGGACAGGCATGGGAATGGTTTCAGTAAGAAACATGCAATAAGACACTTGAAACATTAAAATCTGCCAAGAGTCAGAGGTACAAATGAAACCGTGTGGAATGAAGTTCTGATCAAACTGAAGCCACCTCTGGAAAAGCAATAGTATCTGCATTAGGCTTTCAAAGTTTGTTATATTAAGAGCTTCCTAAAATAGTATACTGTACATCTCCAA